TCTGTGGCCTCCACATCTCCCCTTATAGCCACCCTATCCACCCAAATTACCTTTAATTACTAATAACATTCAATTTGGTTTTAACAATTTTGTCAAAAAATTACGTTACAATGGTTTTAACTATCAGTCTACGTCATAATCATATTAATGTAGTAAAATACAAAATACCTGTAAAAGAAAGACAAGAAAACACATGTAATTTCAAAGAAAATACAATAAAAAGCATCACATTATTTATAAACTGTTATATTAACATTAAAACACAAAATTTCTCTCTCCTTATAACCACCCTATCCACCCAAATTAACATTAATTTTGAAAGCGTCAGCATTATTAATCATTGCTTAAATTTCATTTTATGCCATAAACTAAATTTAGAAATGTTTTAACTATGAATCAAAGTTACGATTATATGAATAAAACAGTCCATAAAGTAAAAAATGAAATACCTGTAAGAGAAAGATAAGAAAACATGAAATATCAAAGAAAATACAATAAAAATAAAAAAATACGATGTCTTCATTCTTCTTAGAAAATACCTCATTATCTGAAAGCGAATAGTGCAATTAACAGGACTAACGGCAAATACTAATAGCTTTGGTAGAGAAGATCGGACAGATTTCGCCAAGGCAAGCTGGGCAGTCGCCTATTGCTCCTATTCCAGATAACCCACTGTACCCTGTCTGAAAGGAAGTAACGCTAGAGTAGACTCGCGAAAAGTGTATAAGACACTTTTAAGATCAACTAAATAGCTAAGCCCAAGGGAAGTCGTTCGGGGAGGCCCTCCCTAATTCCACAAGGGTGAGAAGAAACACACACGATAACGAAACGTTGAATCATGTAGAACTCGTAGGGTAAATGCAAAGCAATTTATAGTAAGAATATGCAGTAAGCTAAGCGAAGAGGTAAGCAAGGTTAAACTATACTACAACTACTAAACGTGTTAGTTTTACTACTACTACATACAAAAATAAAAACATCTACAATCAACAATTACTTCAAATAAAATGAACAAACACTACTACTACATACTAAAAAAAAATAAAAACATCTACAATCAACAATCACTTCAAATAAAATGAACAAAAATAAGCATGCAAAATAAAAATTAATTTGAATAAAATGAACTTAATGAATTCTACTAGATAGAGCATGCAAGATAAATAACTATTTCAACTACGGGGTCATCTTTGTCTTCTCCAACGTCGATCTGAAACAGATACGGTGGTAGCAGATTACTAACAAGAAATTAATATTAATTATGTTATGTAGTCTCACCTTAATTAACTGCAGAATGTAACTTCCAAGTTTCCAAATGGCAAACCAAATTGAAGAACGATACCATTGCAATCGTTGTTTCAGTAGGACCTAGTTCCCAGCTGTACTTATTCATCGGTGGAAAATTAATTGAAGTAAAATGTTGCATAGTCAAGACGTCATCATCAAATCAAGCAACAAGTCCAAGAAACATCCAAATTTCAAAATTGACTTCCATTTTCTCTCACCTGTAGAAATGGACAAGAAAAACGAATTAATTACAGAATGAAACAAACTTGAAAGCATGTAAAACAATAAAATTTTGAAGTGAAACACAATGTGCCATTAATAAACAAAGTACACACCTCTGTTCAAATATCAAATATTTAATCAAAATAATTTCTTCCTTTCCCTATAATGTTCTGTTTCTCATATTAAAGTAAAAAAAATATAAGCATAGTTACTTTAATTCTACTGTTCTGCTGTTGAAATTTCTGAAATGACACTTAAAACATACGGTTGCAGAAAGTAGGTTATAAACATCTACGATAATTTAATGGAAATTTTGGATATATTTTATATTTAATGAATGTTATTACTTACTGGTTCATTGTCATAAATCCTTCTTTCAGCAACAACAATAATCTGTCTGTATTTCCAGTAGAAAGAACGCAATTTCCCTGCTTTCCTTAGGCCATTACCATTACATCCTGGAGCAAAAAAGGGACGACAGGAATGACGAATACTCCTTAGCACATTGCATATACATAATGGATGTATTATCACCTTAACTGACTGCAAAATGAAATATAACATGAATTAAAATAAAAAAATGCACCGAAAATGAAGTAAAATGGTAAAATCTTAAAATGGCGATAACCAGTTTTTATATTACACGTAGAACCACACATGAATGAATTTAATAGCTTTAATTAATTCAAAAGAGATTAATACAACTCAGGGTAGCTTTTCGTAATAAAATATAGCTAATTCTACAAAAAAAGTACTCGTTAATTGAATATGAAAGACGCGAACAAAACTTCTTTCAACCACACCTCAGGCACTGGAATGGCCGTCTGTTCAAGCTGCTACGAAATTGCTCTTGCGTGAAGCCGGCGTGACGTATAAAACGATACGCAGAAGCATCACATTGGACTTCTGCGACGGTTCGCGGCAAATTTTTCGTAATATAACCAATCGCGTAGCTAGATTCTGCCCCATTTTGTAAAATTTAAAAATATGTATGTATGTTTTGCTTCTTATAAGTGCCTTCGCCTGCTCACAACTCTGAAACTAAATGAATTCTAGAGCGAGACAGACAGTTAAAAAACGAGAACATTTAGAGATAAAGAAGATAATGAGTGTATGATTCAGAACAGAAATTATTTGAGGATTATACAAATACGTACTTTTGAAATAATGAAACAATTAAAATGAAAAACTGATATGTATTTAATTTAAAAGAAAACTTTAAAATAAGTATACGTCTACAGTAATTGATTGTTAAAAAAATGCTACAAATTTTAACAGCATGAAATTAAATGATAAAGTTCCGTTTAATTACTTAAGGACAATTATAGTTGTAAAAAATGATTCAAAATGCGTCAAATTTTGGTTTTATGACTGCTACAAAATCGTAGTATTAAAACATACATTACAGAAAAAAAAATGTACGTGTATGGGACAAGCATAACATCTTCATAAATTCTCTGCAATACTGCAATAAATCAAAAAATTTAGAAAACATTCCAGGCACATGCAAGAACGCAAAACAATTGATGATTATACTAAACGTACATATAATTAATCTATTCGCCAAAATTAGCCCTGCAAATAAGTAAACACCGGAAAGCGTAATAAAATTAACCATAAAATTTATATTGTCTGACAAAAATTTCAGGTAGGAGCTACTTGAAAGTAATAAACTTTAAAGAGGAAATCTTGGCAGTTCATTCGTCATTAAAATTATATTTCAATATTTAATGTGTTCACGCCTTTCATAAACCTGCAAATTCAAAATTTTAATTACCTGCTGGTACAATTCCTTTGTTTCAAATTGATTTTTGCACATATTACAACTTATAATAAAAAAAAACTATAGCAAGAACTATTAGGTGTCTAAGTTCAGAAAACATTAACATAAGCAATTTAAATGTTAAACCATCAAAATCGTACTTTATTTAATCGTTTTATGGAATACTAATAGTATTAATGACATAGTCAATGTACTATTCATCATCATAAAGTCCTTAGTCCTAAGACTGGTTGGACACGCCCCTCCACTCTTTCCTATCCTGACATAATTTCACTAAAACTAGAAAAAAAAAACTTTTTGGTATTTCATTCCCACCAGCCACTAATGCTGGTGGGTGGGCAGTCCCTCCGGACTACGCCGGAAGGTAAGGCGGAAGGCCCTCTTCAGCCTGCTTTCAGGAATCGTGGGAATGGGTGGGTGGTGGTTCGGGTGAGAAAGATGAGACGGACGAAATGAAGACAGAAGAGA